CTCTGTAATTATATATTTAATGTTGCCTCAATAAAAATGTTTACATAATGATGACCATTGTTTAAAAATTTCTTAACAAAAGGAGCTTAAGTAGTCTCAATTTAACTAATCATTAGTTCGAAGCTATTCACCTAATTTATTTATTTATTCAAATTATTTACGTGATTATACTCAATTCTAATTCAAAGTTATCAATATTGCATATAATTATTTATTTATTCTATTGGTGAAAAGGATTATTATTGACTTCTGAATCATTAACATTATATGTGTAATAAGTAATATTTCTTGGCAGCTAATTGATGGAATTATTAATCACTTTATATACAACATACAATTGCCAATGGTACTAATTCAAATCATATATAATTATACTGCATGTAACAGCATTTGAGTAACATTCATTCGCAGGATTAACTTGAAAAAGTAGTAATCGGTGAATACGTTTAATAAGTTTATTACGAAATATTATTAATGTTTTATAGAAAATGATTGGTTTGATGATTTAAGAGACAGTTTTAATATTTTATCCTGTTTTATTTAATCGATCATTATAATTAAGATATAATATAGTGTATTACAAGCATTTGCGGAATAGAGGCTCCTCGAATGCTTCAGAGATGCTGCCTTCCGGTACAAAAGCTCAATGCTTTGAAGATCGCTGTCTTCATAGCCAATATAATAATTCAAAAAGACGTCCAAACATCATTAGAACAACAGTTATTATACTAATCAAAATCACTATCAGTTTTAGTACTATGTACTAGAATCAATGATAAACTTCATATATTTATTATTATTAATGAATTGTTAGAATCTTTTTATTTTTGGATGGATTAACAATTATTATTTCATCATATCATTTTGGTTGTTATCCAAATGATATCACTTTTGTTGTGTTCTGGTATTTTAATGACAATTAAAATTTTACACAAAAGATGCATTTTTTGTATTTTTTTTTTTTTTTGCTGTGGTGTGTATAAGAGAAATTAATTTTTAGGTTTTCGTAATTATTTTAGAATTTCTTATCTAAAATCCATAATTTCCCTTACCTCTTTGGTTAATTATTTCCATTACTATCAATCACTCTTTCATACAATTATATGCATTTTGCTTTCCATACTTTCTGGTCCTTTTGCTTCGGTTTTCAATTTTCTGCATTTTCTCTTCTGGGGCAAGTCATCAACCATTTGCATTCTTCTTCTTCCCAATATTTTTAGACTATTTATTTAATCTTTTCCAGCGATTTGAGAATTTTGAGAATTTCTTATCATATCATATGACGACGAATTGCAATAATAGAAAGAACTCAAACCAAAATTCTAAGATCAATTTTTAACGCACTCTGGTATGTCACAAATTTCACAATATGCAAAGGCCTAAAAATGTTAACAGGACGAGAAATAATACATAATAAGATCGTGTCTCAATTCATAGAGACTTACCCACTAATACATAATAAATAATATATAATAAGATCGTGTCTCAATTCATAGAGACTTACCCAAATCCAACAGTTGAAGATCTCTTAATGCCGCAAGACAATAGAAGACTGAAAAGAGTATAGTCATTGGATTACGCGCAAACTAACTAAGATATAGCACTGGATTATCTTATAATTAGATAATTAGACATTTTTATTATTTAGTGTATAGTTCAGCTCATAGAAATTGTAATTGTTTTTCTGATTGCTAAAAAAAAGTATAATGAAAAAAAATCTAAATTGATGAATATGCTGCCATAATAAATAATAATGGGTGGTACTGCCCTAGGGCAAGTGAGCTGAATTAAACTTCAACTCAATTCAGGAAGAAAGAAGCTATTTTTCATTGGAAACATTCTTTCCTTTTTGGTTCTTTTTACCCGCTCTACCCTACATATAGCAGCATTGGAGTTCCATTTCGTAACGGGGGTTAAGAATTTTTCACAACTATATTTGAAGTAGTGGGTAAAGGATGTGTAACCAGCCATCACCTTGATGCTTACGAAAATTATTTCGTAATATGTCGAACGAAACGAAAAGTATTTTCTTTCGTTGATAGTTTTTTTTGGTTGTGATTGAGAGCACTGTTGTTTAGTTTACTAGACCTTGATATAATATTTAAGTATACGTTATCTTTGTAAAAAAAAAAATTGCCTACAAAATTTATATTTTGCGTTAGTTGAATAATGTAGCCCTTATTTCGTAAAACCCCTTCAAATAGACCAAACGAAGTGAAGAGACGTTAGTAATGGGTTTATTAAATTAATTACAATGTTGCCAATTTTTATTATTTGAATACTTTTTATTACTCGAATTCTGTATCAATACTGCATAACTAAAAATGGAACACTTTATACGCTTCGACAGTGTGTGAAATGAAAGAATTACTTTTGATATTTTCGTCAACAGTTTAGGACTAACTAATATAATGTTTAAGTATACGTTATTTTCTGTGAAAAATGTGCTTACGAAATTTATATTTTCCATTAGTTCAATAATGTAGCACTTATTTCGTAAAACCTCTTCAAAATTAAAAATAAGACATTGGACCTGGTAACCCCCAGTCGTCTTTTACCCGAGTAAAAAGGACCAGATGACAAATTTTCGAAAAACAGTGAAAAGAGCACATTTCTACAATGATGAATTAGCTGGAAGTTTTACTGAACATAGTCAGATAGTTGTTTCTTTGATTTATGTGTTAATCGTTGTGATATATTTGGCATGGTTTTCACAATACCTATATATAAATCATGATTAACTATTGATGCTCTTTTCGTAGATTCATAAAAAATACACTTTATTTACCGTTCTTTTTTCTCTTGTTGTCCATTCGGCTTTCAGTTTAATTTATTATTTCCTTGCGTATATTGTCAAACAACTGCATTCTTCTTCAGTCTTAGTCTTTTCAGCCCTTTTACATTTTTGGAAATCTACTGCCTGCATGGATGCTGCACTGCACTGCCATGTATTTTATCTGGCCATTGCAATCGCACGCATTCGGTATCGAAACCTATTTATTTGATACGATATCGCTGCTCTAATACGATCATACGACCGCGCGACCTATCTCAATAACAAACTTTCGTATGCGGCAGGAGGAAAGCGGCATGAGGCGTACTGACCTATGACATGGCTTCGGAGCACGCACTGTATCGATTATTGCGAGGAGACCGCGGTCTACTCTGTATTAACCTCGTACGCACATTAAAAGCCATTTTCCCTATAGGCTTACATTACACTGCAGGAGATGAATGAAAAGAAATGACATAAAAAGAATTATGGGGTCATGGGGGTGAAATACTTCGTAAAATCTCATGAAAACTCGATTAATATTGATATATAAAGTACATATAAAAGATTAATCTAACAGTCTATTGCTACACCTATAAATTAAGAAAATATAAAACATTTCCAAGACCTAATGTTCACTGTTAGCACTAATGGAATGTTCCCAATTTTCGCAATTATTATGAAACTCTAGTGTTAAAATTTTGTTGTTACTTTTTCTCTATTGATTGAAACTAAATAAGGGGGCGTCCATTAATCACGTGAGCGAGTTTTTAGGATATTTTGAACCCCCCTCCCCCTTGGTGATACATGGTGATATTCAAAATTACCCCCCCTCCCCCACCAAAAATCACGTGTATTTTTAGTTACGTGATAAATCTGTAAATTTTTTTTTTGATTGTTTGATCATTTTTAAAAAAAATCAGATAAAAAATAAATACACGTGATATCTTACTATACCCCTCCTTCCCCCACGTGATATTTCGTGATTTTTTGTCAAAGCCCTCCTTCCCCAAAGAACATCACGTGATTAATGAATGCCCTCTAAGGGTCTTAAACTAATTAAGTGCAATTGATTTTATTTACAATAATTCCTAGAGAGAAGTTTTTGTCATATTTTTCAAGTCATTTTGAGTCGCTTAAATGTCGAATTTTGCTATAAGGGGGCGTCCATAATTTACGTGATTTTTTTTAGAGGGAGAGGGAGGTTGGCAAATAATCACGAAATATCACGTGGTGAAGAAGAGTCTAGTAAGATATATGAAATGAATTAAAATCCACATATTTAAAAAAAAATCAATTTTTTTTGTAGTTAAAAATACACGTGATATTTGGTGGGGAAGGGGGCGATTTTGAATATCACCCCGTATCACCAAGGGGGGGGGGACGGTTTAAAAATGCTTAAAAAATGAATCACATGATTAATGGGCGCCTCCTAATAACGTATTTAGTCAACATTTTCATAAAAGTAGCGATCGTTTCAATCCTAACGCAATTTTAACAATTTAACAGTTACTTTTGAAAATCGTTCTTTTTGGTAAAAATCGACGATTAATATTTGAAATATGTCAGAGAGATTTCGTTAGGATTATAGTTGCTATTTACAGGTTTTTGAAAAAATAGACAAAATCCTCTTCATACATAATATTTCATATACGTTTTTGAAGAAATTCCTAATGTAATATAAAAAAATCAAAGTTCACGTGAAAGATATTCCTTGGGCTTTGTGGGATTCATTTTTGGTGAAAATTGATGCAGCCGCCTTTTCGAAATTAATAGTTTTTCATTTTAAAAACGCATAAATTTTCAATTAACAATTAAACAAACAACAAAAAATTATTGTTGTTCAACTTGATTAAATTCTTATATCGTATGCAACTTACGAAAAAATGCCACGAACACCTAGTTTTCTACGATTTGCCTTTCATAACGTTCGGTAGTCATATGAGCTTGACATTTTTTTGCTTTATGTCTTTTAATACTGCACAGAGGGTATAACCACAATATGGGGTACTGAAGCTGAAAGCTTTTCCATATTATATGGTTGGTTATATATTCGATTTTTAGTTCTGGGAAGAAATATATTGAGATATTTTTATGTATATGTGTAATATATATTTGTGTGTATGTATATGTGTAATATATATAATATATTGCTATAAGTCTATCTGTAATGTGTATCAATATTTTTTGGTTATATAATCTGATGTTATTTTTTTATTTATTTTAGGACTCAACATTACGACAATCTCCAAAAGGAAACAAACAATAAAGATAATAAAAATAATAATAACTCATCAAGCCAGAGACCTCTGAAGGATAATACAAATATTCAGCACGTGCGCCCTGGTGCTCAAACCAATGGTAATGCACTGAGCAACAATCAAGAGCAATCTCCATCCAATGTTAATGGAGAACAACAATTGACTTCAATAAAAGTCGAACCTGATAGTGACGGAAATAAATCTTCAGAAATTAAGACTGAAGAAAAAAATTCAACGAATGATAAAAATCATAATAACAAATCGTCTATTAAGTGCCTAGAGACATTGGCTCAGAAAGCCGGCATTGTGTTCGACGAAACCTATGAAGTTGCCAACACATTGTTGACTTTAGATAAACAACAAACGGTACCCACGTCTGTTGCGCAAACGCAAAATAACCAGGGTAACCAGAACGGCGAGAACAATAGCAATAATATAGTACAGCAGAATTTGATTGTTGTGGATCAAAACAATCAACTTCACGAGTTCCATAATCAAGCTATGGCCCAGATCAAACAACTTGTGGAAGCATCAGGTTTGTAATTCATTATTTTATTAAACCGAGTCATTAATAGTTAATGAGCTTAGAAAAAAAAAATTGTACATACTTATGACCACCACCAGCTCAAAAATATTCATGACGATTAAATATGATTAACACTATTTGATAATAACAGTAATACGTTTTTAATACCTCAACTTAAGAAGTAATCTCCTGATCTGTCAGTAATTTTGTTTTAATTCCAGGACAAGTTCAACAAGCACAAATGCATCAAGAAATAGAACAGAATCCCGCTCAGAGCCCACATACTCTGCAACAAACCATGACGTCCATGGCACCTCCACAAGGTTCCATGCATCAGCCCAATCAGACCACCACAATAGCAACTGTACCACCACTTCAGCCTATGGCGACAGGTAAAATGAATAATTGAAGTAAATGATTAATATTTAGAGTATTTGATATTTATCATTTTGGCCATTACTTAACATTAATAAAATATACGAATTACAAAAACAATGATTTTTCTATAATTTAAATCAATAACTTACTTACCCATTATCACAAAATTATTATTGGAGCGTTTCGGTTCGACAACATTACTATTGATAGTACTTACTAATAGATACAATTCAGTTTCTTGAAGAATTTGATATATTAACATTATTTTTTTTTTCAAATAATTAATTAATAACCAATAAAAGATACTATTATTTTTTATCAATAAATAGAGAAATTAAAATTAATAAACTGTAAATAAAAAAAATGAATATAATTACCAGTTTTGCAACAAAGTTTATCGAATCATAAAACAAATTAACAATAAATCTACAAATTTATGATTGTCCATATTCGTTTTGCCCCTGCACTATAGATTAAATTCTATTATATTCTATATGTATCATCATTGATTTATCAAGTCAACTATAATCTAATAATATTTATCTTCAACCGTAACCAAAAAAGTTTTAAGTGCATTCAGGACAGCTCATACTGATTCGATATCTATTTACAAGCCGGATGTTTAAAGTACTCGTGTTGACTCACTAATGAGAAAATTATGATAAACTATGAGAACACTTTGCTATTGGCCCATGTAAATAACATATCATGAATGAAAGTGGACATCTTGATGCATCTAAGGAGACTTCAAAAACATATGTTGAATTATTACTATTAATTGAAAAATCGAAATCGATAAAGTTTTGCATATTAGCATGAGGATTCCTTACGCTAATATTAGCATATTAGCGTGAGGATTTCCAGGCCTTGCCCTGGGTTTTTGCTATAAGCAATATTTGTCTCGGATTTTGATCTTTTGTTCCGGATTGTCTTGCGTTTTTGAAATTTAAAGGTTCAAAGTGAATTTTTGCAATTACTTGATAAACAACAAAAAAATTACTAAAGTTAGCAAAAACTATGAAAACGAACTTTTATACTGCCTGGCACAAGTATTTATTTTTACTAACAATAAGTTAATTATGAAGAAAATGTAACGCAATTTTATACAAGACTCAAAGCGAAGAAACGTTTAGATCCAAAAATATAATATACAATATAACATTTAATCGAAAAAAAGTTCTACTAAAATCAGGTAATTCTAATTTGAAAAAAAAAGATTTATTAAAAAAAAGTGATTTTTATTGTATTCTTAAATACAATATTTGTTAATTTAAATAGCATTAAATTCATTTAGCATTAAGCCGCCTACCCCTGTCCCAGATTAGCATAACTACAAGTTACAGCCTCGGTTTTGACCTAAAAAGAATATGATCACAACGTCCTTCTGAAATGTATTTAATAATATTTAATACTAAAGACTATATATTAAATGTATTATTAAATATTGTCGTAAAATTAGTATAAAAATTAATTTATGAAGATTGATAATATTTATTTTTCTATCACTTATATGAATTTGAACAAACACACATATCTGCCTGCAGGCATACTCATTTTTACTTATGTAAATATAAGTTAATTTAATTAATTAAGTTAATACTAAAATGTCTGCAGGTCAAGTTGGAACGGTGAGTACGGTTGGTGCACAACAAGATTGGAGTCATGGAGGCCGTGTGCAAGTGATCCAACAACCCCTGCAGCAGCTCCAAAACCCCACTTATGTTCATCAACTCTACAGTAGTCCGCAAGGGCAGTTACTCATGCCTGGAAACTTGCTTCATTCCAATATCAACCCACAACAAATTCAGGTTATAACTGCCAACAAGCCTTTTCAAGGTGGTCAAATTGCTCCACATATGCTGACAACTGCACAAGGCAAACAGGTGTTGGCAGCCAGCAGTGCTAACGGTTTCAATGGAGGATACTCTCTGCCAACAATTCCTTCTACGCAGTCTCAGACGTTACTATTTAGTCCACTAAATGTTATCAGCTCACAACCGAGTATATTGTCTACGCACAATCAAAATGGTAAGTTTGTATCTAAAAATCATTATTAGAATTGAAATTTTAATTCATTCAACTTCTATTTGATTTGTAGATTTTTATTTAGTTATAATTGGAGTTTTATAAAAGATATAATTTTTTATATATCAATAGCAAAATATCTCTTGCAAATTTTAAAATTCTTTATAAATATTTATTAACAGGTAATAAACAGGACGGTATGCACAAAGTGATGGGTGGAACCAAAGTTATGCAAAAAGTCGGTACTACGCAACAAACGCAACAAAATACAAACCAACAAGGACAGTGTGTGCAGGTGTCACAGGCTATGCTTAATTCTCAACCCACCGCTCAAATTATTAGCCCATTACAGCAAAGTACGTAATGTTATTTTAAAAAACGAGTCTCGAACGCAATGTTTAATTATCATAATTACCCCGTAAACTTTTCAGATGGTGGACAAATGCAATTTGCTCATACGCCGTGGCAGTTCAGTGGCGTACCTCAGATATGGACGACAAATGGAATTCAGTCACCAGCTTTGCTGGCTCCTAATCCTATATTTATAAGAGGCCAGCCTGATGGAACTACACAGGGAGGCATGTTTATTCAACATAGTCCTCAACAACCCGCAATTCAACAAGCTACACATAACCGTACGTATTTGTAAATTTTCTTTTAAGAATTTTGAAGACAGCAATATTATTTATTCAGATTTGAACACGTATTTGCAATTGAATTTAAGAAATTCTATCAAAACTTTAATTTAATTCTTTGAAAACTTTAAGTAAATTTTAAAATGTTTATTGTTTGATTTTTTAAGTTATAAGTTAAGATAAAATGTTATACAAAAAATACGGGTGAAATAAACTTTAGTTGCATAAAACCAATGATTGCTACCTAAAACCCTGTAACTTTAAGGTAACATATATTATTTTATGAAAATATGCATTATATAATAATTCATTTCATAATAAATATTTTTTTATTTTAGAAACCTTGACAATACCATGCAACCCAACGCAAGCTACGGCTCTGAAACAACCAAGACCACAAGTAGAGCTTCAACCCAAAGGTCCAATCCGTCCTCCTCCAAATATTCTTCCGTCAGGAGTGCGACCTGCTAGTTCCGTCTCTACACAAACTGGTGCTAATACTCAATCCGGACTTACGAAAACAGGCAAAGCTCGAGGGAAGCCACCTGGTGTGCGCACATCACCTGCTCCAGGAACTATGAAGACCGACGCTGCGACGCAAGCAAAAGTTCAACAACAACAACAGCAGCAGCAGCAACAACAACAACAGCAACAGCAGCAGCAGCAGCAGCAACAGACACATATGATTACCAGCGAAGGAAAGTAAGTACCACAATGATATATTTAATAAATAATAATGCGCATAATTTTTCGAAGCACTGCTGTTTTGATCAATAAATATTTTTTTATTAAACTAAATGACAAAACTTTTATTTTATTTAATTCAATAATTATGTAATTTTAGAATGGTAGTAATGACATCTCCTATTCAAATGACAATGCAACAAGGTACACAAATTCAACCACAACAAGCTTTATCACCTGACAAACAACAGCAATTGGTGGTGCATAATAATAAAGCCCTTCAACAAGCCCAACAGCAAGCACAGCAAGTTGCTGCACAGCAAGCTCAGCATCAGGTATTTGTCAATTTTCTGGTAAATCAATATTATTATCTAATTACATTGGCTTATGAAAGTTAAACGTTACGAGATTATTTTCATCTAACAATAAGTTAAAGTTAAACAACAAACTAAAGTCAGTGCACTATGTTTCAGCAGGCCGTACTTATTCAACAACAGCAGCAAATTCAGCAGTTCCAGTTGCAGCAATTCCAACAACAGCAACAGCAGCAAGCAATTCAGCAGGCTCAAGCTCAGGCTCAGGCTCAGGCGCAAGCTCAAGCACAAGCACAAGCACAAGCTCAAGCTCAAGTGCAAGCACAAGCCCAAGCTCAAGCTCAAGCCCAAGCGCAAGCACAGACACAAGCTCAAGCCCAAGCCCAAGCACAAGCACAAGCACAAGTCCAGCATGCTACTCAACAGACACAGCAACAGAACCAACCCCAGCATATTCAACCTAAACCGGCACCCCAACAAATGCTTGGTAGGTTATTTGTAGAACTATTACTTTGAAAGTATTATAAACATTTTACAGCAATCTTTTCAATATTTAAATAATAGAAATGATAGAGTCTCTTTTTTCATTATTATTGTTTTGCCTTAGGTATGGTCACAATGCCTCAATTGATTGCGGCTGATGGAACACGACAGGTTATGCCAGTTGTATCTATGGCCGGACATGTTTCTATGTCAGTACCAATGGTTCAGCAGTTACATGCTGTAAGTATTAAAATAACTTTTTTATTGTTGTTATATTGGATATATATCAAAGATGTTTATACAATAATAAAAATTTTCTTCAAATCTCTGTGGTACTATATATTATGATAGTATACCAAGTTAAAAGAAAAATACAAGTCAGTTTTAAAGAAGCTTTTTTTAAATTTTATAGCAACAATTAAGTGCGATGCAAACAGGAGCAGGTACCATAATGAACCAGCTACAGGCTCAACCGGTATCAATACAAATGCAGAATCCTGGTGCAACTCAAGTGAATGCTCCTGCTGTTTCTATGGCAACCGCTGTTGCCGGAATCACGGCGGTAGCGTCACCATCACCACTTCAGCCAGTGGCTGGATCTCCATTACCTGGAATGACGACAGCCACCACGGCGACGCAGAGTTCGGTCACGCCTGTTGCTCAGGTTAATGGAGCTCTGCATATCGGATCACAAATAACGTGTATGCCAGTCGATGTAGTTAAAGATGAATCAAAGGTTAGTAAAATTTGATTTTCTATTTACAATATCATAATTAGTAATTCTCAAAAAGTAGTAATATTCATTGAAAATTTATGATTCTCTAAACGTGTTGATTGTTGATTACATGTACAATATGATTTTACTTAATTTACATAATTTGGTTTTCAGTTTTTTGTTACTTTCATAACATATTGGTTTTCAATAGTTATTTTTTATCATTTATTTAAAATGAATATTTTCAGGTAAAGGAAGAATTGGTGCATAGTGTAACTTTAACTCAAACTGTGTCTGCGCCTGCAGCAACACCACAAACAGAAAATGAAACACCTTTGACAAATGGTCTTCTTACGGACACCAAAACATCCTTAGTGAATGGCGATGCTTCAGCAACCAATGGTATGCACTTAACAATTAGTAATTTTATTGGGAGAAATATGGAGCAAATTCTGATTAAGCTGAAGATTAATATTAGTTTGCGCGTAAAGCATCGAAAAACTTTTGCTTTTTCTGGTATAAATCAACCAAATGTAACTCTTGTAAAATGTTTTGAAACGTATAAGCTAGTTTAAAAATTCTAATATATAACTTTCATTACTTATTTTTTTCATTGCAGAAACCGCGCAGAGCAAAACTAACGGAGTTGCGACTCCGACCAATTCAGTGAGCAATGCTGCGTCTACGCCTACCAGTCAACCTGCACAAGAATTACCAGCTCAGATCTCAATAACTTCTTCTACTGCACCTACGACGCAAGCATCTAATGTGCCCTCCAGTGTTCCTCAATCAATATCCGTGACACCATTGCCCGTTGTGCCGACAACGGCACAAAATCAGACAGTGGAGTCTACGCAATCCAATATTCCTATAACTACACCGGCTGTAAAAGCTGAGAAAGATTTTCCAAAAGTTGGAATGGTTAAACCACAAAACGTACTAACACATGTCATAGAAGGTTTCGTTATACAAGAAGCGGCGGAACCGTTTGCAGTCAACAGGCCGCGTTATCCTGAACGCAAAGAAAATGATGAACCACCCAGTAAGTACTATGAATTAATTGAAAATATATTAGAAAAATATTATTAACTATTTGCGTTACCGAATTAATTTGCTTTTCAAAGTTATTGAATTTGTATTTTGTATTTAGACATTTACTATTGTCTTTTTGGTATGAATTTTGTTATTAACTTCCTAAAGAAGTTAATGTTCTCACGAAAAAATACTAAATCATGATAAATAAGCATCATAGATAAATAAGCATAAACTACTTGTTAATTATATGTTTTTTTGGCGTTTGTCATTCTTAATTATTTGAACATTTGAAAAAAGTATGTGAGAATGTGTGGATATGTATGGATGGTTGTGTGTATGACTTTTCTAAACGGCTGAACTGATTTAAATGAATGTAACTCAATAAGTACTTACGTTGATAGTTGATTGCACAACAATCAGCCATTCCGTTTCTTTATAAGTAAATAGCACAAAGTGCAAAAGTTTTCGTCCACGTTTTCGTAAAAAGCTCGAATTTGGAAATTCAAAGTTTTTTCGAGATACTGATTTTTTTTGGCAAAACCGATGGGATAGTTTCTTCGTAATCGACTGTTAAAAAGTTTATGTTAAAGTTTGGATTCTGGGCCCCGTTTTTTGAAAATACGCGGTGTTTGTATTATACGCGTGTTCATTTTTCAATATTGAGTAATATTTTAAAATTTGTCAAAAATAACTGCTAAGTTTGGAAAATTTATTCAAATTCGAATATTCTGCTTTAGGCAAAATACTCGTAAGTTAATGATATCTTATTGATTAAGTCGATCGTTTACACATGTCGGTAAATAAATGCAACGTGCCTTAAGTCAAAATGCCACTTACACTAATATGTTTTGATAGCTTGATAATAAGCAATTAAGTATCATTGCAAAATGCAGTAATATTACAAAGTCAAAATCTACATTCAAAATATTTATATATTTAATGTTTCGTGGCAAACTCTTACAATTAATCTTTTCGCTATGGCGTTTTTTGTAGGAATATCACTGCTGTACGGGCCATTGAGCTGCCCAGTAGCGTCTCTGAACGGACCAGATACAACAATACAATTTAAGATTGTTCAATAATTACGCATTTAAAAATTAAAAATTACACTTTTAAAGAACTAAAAATTGCATCAATTCAATAATTTAACTCAGAGTTATGCGGGTGCCTTCTACAGGATTAATAATATAAATCATAAAATACCCAAAAAATGTCAATAATCATATATGTATATTCGTACATTAATGTGCAATTTTTCATTGTAATTTATCTATTTTTCTAGAAAAGCGACCAAGCGTTGATAGCACTAATGGGAAAAATGGAATTCAAAATGAGAAAAACTCTGATATGGCAACATGTGAATTCTGTGGTAAAACAGATTTAAAATCCAAATTCAAGAAAAATAAACGTTTCTGCTCATTGTCATGTAGTAAAAGGTGATTATACAATATTTTAACTTAATATTCAAGACTTTATTTCCTTAATTTAAATAACTTGTTTTAAGTATGGAATGTATATTTTATATCAATTTATTTTCTTTTACAGTCAAAAGCACAGCCTTTCACCAAAGCATATCAGTTGTGAAACTTCTGAGCCAATCAAGCCTTTGCAAGAAAACGAACCCATGGATACTACTGAAAGTAGTGAGAAGAATACCGAAATATCAGAAGAGCCAGTTGTCAATATCAGTACATGGACGGTAAGAGAATTAATTTTTCTTTTTTGTAAGATTTCTTATCGTAATACTCTGCATTACTGAAAGTTTCAGACGAGAACACTATACGCTCTATATACTAATTTTATTGGATTTTATTGAAATAAACAATTCAATAATTACCACATGACATACAATTTTTTTCAATGTTTCTCTATTTGACTTAAATTTACAAAAAAACATCTGTCACAAAACATCGCATCACAAAACATTTGTAATTTTCAACTTTTTTATTGAAGTCAGATTGAAAGCAAGAGTGTTTATAATTCTAAAATTATAATAATTTTAAATTGAAGTGCTGTATTTATTTTAAAGAGCCAAGCATTTTTTAATAAGTGACAATTTTGTGAATTTTACTAAATTATTATAAAAAATAAATTATTAATTTATATTCAATTTGCTATGACAAATACTACCCAGTAAACACGCGATGTGATCTTCTATAATATCGACATCGTTATTATAATGCGGTTATCGAATCTACGCCACAAGAGGATTTTAAACTTGCGTGCGCTTGTGTGTGTTACAATACACGCAAAGCTCGCATTGAGTTGTCTCACGAGACATAAACACGCGCTGTCGGGGGTAATGACATCGTTGAATTTCATGTGAGATACATGTCGTGCGCTGGTGTGTGTTAGAACACATGCAAAGCATAATCAATGACGTCACACGGCGTGAAGCAAACGCGTCGTGCGCTGCGTTGTGTGCGTTGTGTGCTGGCGTGTGTGACCATACAAAGAAAGCTTTACATCAGCGCGCCGTGGCCACTGGTGGAACCGACTGTTTCTTTGACGAAAGCTAAATTAACCGCTTACAAAATGGCGCAATATGTCACGAATTTATCATGCATCAAGTTATATTTTCTTTAGTATAATAATTACATTCGTTTAGTTAAGCAACTTGTTTATGATAATTGTAGAAAAGTGTAGAAAAATGACACTGTAAGTATATCATATATTATTTATATAGATATGTAATTACTTCACGATTTTGAATTCCATTTAGTGCATTATATCCTGGGATGAAGAAACGTTATTTTATGTCGATTTCTTTAGATGACAAAGGAGGTAACCAAATAGCATATCTTACAAAATCTGAGGACAATAATAAGGATCGTTTATCAAGGTTAAAATAATTATTTTACTAAATTAAGACATTAACATATCCATGTGTTCGACATAACCTCACTTCTTAAATCTCTTAAATTAGTCGGTTGAGAAGCGGATCGAGAATGATTGTTTGAATATGTAAGTCACTACAAATATAATAGCTATACAAATATATATAAACAGCAAACACGTATGCCATGTTCATATTTATTTCAGAAGTCGTACAAAATTGGAATGAAACGATGAACAATATACAGATCTTTAGACAGGCTCAAATAATGTATGTTTAGGAGCAACTTGAAGATAATGGAGATTTATCTTCTTAATATGTAAGTTGATTCATATATAGTTGCTGTATATATATTATTTGGTAACAAATACATTATATTTATAATTGTTTTAGAAAACCTCTAAAATTGGGAACAGTATGTCATATATGCATGAACTTGATTGATGTATTGATGTATAATGAACTGAAGATATAATGAATTCAATCAGGTTAAAAAAAATGTATGTGCAAAAGCGACTCGAAGACGATTTAGATTTGTCTCCTGAATATGTAAGTTGCTACACATATGGAGTGGTATATATATTATTAGATTCAATAAAACACATTATGTTTCAAATTGTTTTAGAAAACTTCCAAGAAGTACATCATATATGAATATCCTGTATCCTCGCATTTGATGTAATGAACTGGCGATAGAATGAAATCAGTCAGTGTTAAAAATGTATGTGTAAAAGCGACTTTAAGATGATGGAGATTTGTACACTGAACATGTAGGTAGCTACACATATGGTAGCTGTATATATATATTATATTATATACAGTAAATCACATTATGTTTGAATTTGTTTTAGAAAACTTCCAAAATTTGGGGCAGTATGTCATATGTGCATAATCTGTATCCTGGCATTTGATGCAATGAACTGGCGATAGAATGAAATAATGAAAAATAGGCAGGCTGTTTGATGTATAAGGAAGTGGCGATAGAATACTTATGCAACACTTCACACTTCACGCCCCAAAAATAGAATTACGTTCATTAGATATACAACAATTTTCATTAAATATACTGTTATTAATATGTTAAGATTGAATAATTTGTAAAAAGTTTTCTAGTATAGTTCATGTTAAAATTTTATAATTTCAAAACTACAATTCTAATTTGTAATATTTAAATATTGTAAAATTTCTTATTATTCACGTAAATAAATGCTTATTCGTACAGAAAAGAATATTAATTGCATTACGTCATCACTTTCAGGTGCTATTACGTCATGAGTCGCCATTTTGTATGACGTCATGACCGAATCGTTTTCATTCGCCAATGACGTCATGACTGGGGTGAACGCCTTACGTCAGACGGTCTTATCATAATAAACAAACATATGTGGGTCAACGTCGATTTTCATGTATCACGAACGCCACGTGCGCCAGAGACCGAACCTCGATAGTTGTTCGATAGTTACATAAATTTGCGGCCGTATCCATTAAATATCGAGGACAATGAATATGGGAACCGCATGTCACACGACCTAAATAAAATATTGCCACGATGTTGTGGCCATATCGCATGTTTACTGGGTATTTTGTCTGCATAATATTGGATTTTCAATAACCTTGTTCTTTATTCTTTAATTACAGGTGTCAGATGTTGTAGATTTTATTAAAAATCTTCCTGGATGCTCAGATTATTGTGAAGATTTTGCGATACAAGAAATCGATGGGCAGGCTTTGTTGCTCCTGAGGGCTGAACATCTGATGTCAGCAATGGCCATGAAATTAGGTCCCGCTCTTAAGATTGTGGCCAAGATAGAAGCCTTAAGGCCAGATAAAGATTAGCAACCATGCTATTTGTAAATAGTGTACAATGTGGTGTGAATGCTAAGTGCATAGAAAATAAATAATTTGAATCTCTGAACGATGGTGACATATGTGAAACTCGACTTGAGTGTTTAAGTGTAATGTTTCAGATATATAATCAGGACAAAAACTTATTATGATTAATATATAATACATTATATCTGATCTAAGATAATATAACAATTATTGAAATTATAATTACAAAACCATACTGCAAAGTATGCAACTATATATAACATATATATCAAATTGATATTGTACATAATAGATATTTATAATTATTGTTTTATTATTTTATAACTAGGACAATTCCATCAAAGGAATTTAAATTTATTTACTGTTATGAATGTATTGAGTGATTGGACAAATGATTTGATATTTATATTTGTGTTAATATTTTATAAATTTATTATAAACTTATTCAAAGTTAATGCAAAATCTGTGTATAATTGTGAATTGTAAATAGTGCAAATGATGATATATAATTTTAGTCCTAATATATAGAAAATGATATAGGTTTTTTAAATCGAACTTTTAAGAATTTATGACAGGAAACTGCCAAGTTTATAAAGAAATTCATATGTATGTTTATAATATTTAATACAAAAATGTCTCATAAGAATCAAACATATTTACTTGAACCGCTTACAGGAATATTAGAAAAGTGAATAATATGTACAAATATGTATACATTTTGCTTCCGAAGGTCAAAACTTGCATAATTTGATTTTCTAGTTCTTATTAATTGGCTCATAACTAAGAACTTCTGAATAATTTCCTTCTTGGGTTTAATTTAGTAGTCAGTAGATTTATTCATTTTAGCAGTCTGAAAAAACATGAATAAGATTCAAAAGAAAGTCACACATCAAAATTTGCAATTTATAGTTTATTTCATAAAGTATGCTTTTATTAAATCTAAATCTAAATAAAAATAAACAACATAGAAATACCAAAGAATGGTAGTGTTAAATTCCTTGGAATTACTCTTGACACAAGATTGAATTGTGATGAAACGAAAACAGATTAACAAAAGATTCAAAGAGTTGTATTGGTTAATTAACAGAAATTCAAAAATATCTGATGGATATTTTACACATTATTTTACTGATGAAAATAATTCACTGTATTATAAAAGTAAAACAATAATGATTTCTATTTCGATGTATAAAATTGAATTATGGATGTGCATCTGCAGATCAAATATACAAATATTACAAGAGCATAAAATAAAGAGCATAAAAAAAATTATAAAGTCATAAAATCATAAGGGTAAAAGAAAGAAGGCAAAAATATCATTAAAAACTACCAGGTTGTCCAAACCAGTGCATACAGAAATTGGGCCAAAAAGAGCCAACCAGAAGGCAAAAATATTATTAAAAACTACCAGGTTGTCCGAATCAGTGCATACGGAAATTGGGCCAAAAAGGACCATCAGAGTAAAAAAAAACAACTAGTGGTGCATGGCCTCGTGATTTAAGGTAAATTGATAAAAACATCCTGTACCAAAAATTATATTTTTTAAAAAAGCTTTAAAATTTTTTGATAACTTTGAAAAAATTAATCCTGTGAAATTTTTGAATCAACTTTACTTATTTTACAAATTTTAAATATTTTAGTTGCTTATAGACGAAATATCGAAGCGCGTAAGTGCCGCGTCGCAGTCTAACGAATAAACACTGATACGGAATCCATAGAAATGTAATCAAAATTTGTACTTATCATTAAAATGTCTATAAAATACCTGATAATTTGATGTGAATATGTCTAATCATGTTTGTTCGCCGAGTGGCATTGCCTTTTTCACTTTTCTCATTGGATCTCCTATGCCTCTAATCGCTAGAACTGCCTTCCAAAAAAATTAATCAGTTCTTCGTTCTTTAAAACAAATAAAATATTTTTTGAATCATTCAAATCGGAGGCTTTGTTATCTCATACCAATATTTCTTTTTGTGTCAGTCTTGCCACGTTTTTTAATTCGAATGAGAGTATCTTTTAATTCGAACCGTACGAGCTAAAAAGATTTGACATAGCTATGAAAATTATAACAATTCAGAATGGCTTGAAACGTCGGAAAAACATAAAAATAGCTAACCGAATTTTCTAACGGAAAATAAACATTGGGGAAGAAGAGAAAAATATTTATTCAATATAATTTATTTGAAAATAAGTAACATATTGTGAATTTTTAAAAACAATCATATAATAATAATAATTAAGCCAAATCGTAAACTTTTATTTAAAATTTGATTGCTATATGATTCAAATCAAGCAAGTCCTGATACGGTGTTAGACCCGTTTGCGAATTGTTATCTTTTATTTAACTGCTCCAATTACAACCTTGACAACTCTAATTTCAAGAATTTTTAATCTGTACTTTTAGGCTACATATAGGGGAAATATGAACAAAATGATATACACGAACAAAATTACTTTATTACTTTATTTGTAAATTTGCTAGTTTTATATATAATGTATAAAAACTATTTTATAAACGTTATATATAGTAACGTTTCCATTATAGTATAATTTAAAAAAAATCAAAATCACAATCCTATCAGACGTTGAGCGTCATTGTCACAGTAAAACTGTTCAAACGCCTTCAAATAAGTTTATTTTGAGGGTGGTTTAATCATGTTTTTTAAAAAACTTATCTTAACTTAAAAAATTGAATAATTATTAAGGGGCACAACTAGTGTAACCGCCTGAAAAAAAGGTGATTTTTGGGAATTTATATTAAAAAACTACTTTATCAATCATTTCAAAATTTTAGGAATATATTTATACATGTTTTAAGAATACATAGTAAAATTTTTGTAGAAAAAAATTAAATATTTTTTAAGTTATCGTCGATCTCCAACGGCGCGACAAAAAAAGGCCCTTCACTGCTGCAGTGATTCCGGTCTTCTACGTGGATAAAATTTAAAAAAAAAATCTCGTTAAACTAGATAATATTGTCTGTAAAATGAACTACGATAAAGAAAAAAATCAAAAATTGACAAAATGACGGCGTTTTTTTAAAAAAAGTCGAATTTTACCCAAAATTTTGATCGTTTTTGGACTGTCAAAATTCGATTTTTGATCCGATCGAAAAATCGATAGTTCATTTTACGGAGAACTATATATAGAACCTGTAAAAAAAAATTGATAGGATCGGATCATTTGTTTTTGAGTAATCGCTGCAGCAAATTCGAAAAATGCTGTTTCGAGAAAAACGCGTTTAAAGATTAAATGATCGTTATACTATATACTATATATATATATCTTTAAATGGCTGTAACTCAAAAATTATTTAAGATATCGATTTAAAATTTTGGTATGTTATTAGGTATAACCTATCGAAATATGAAAAAATTGAAAATTCGATTTTTTGAAAATTTCACACTAGTTGTGCCACTTAACTTCCCTTAGGATAAATTATAGAAATCGCAAAAAATCGAAAATGAATAATTTCACATATCTTTACGTTTTATAGGTTTGTGAATATTTTGGCATAAATCCGAAAAAATCGATGTATGTTCGTGTGTATGTGCTCGGATACAAGTTATTGTGGACGATTTCGGGAACATGGATCAACCGATTTGAATAATTAAAAAAACATTTCATTTATATTAACAAAGAGTGCTGATTAGTTTTTAGCAAAGGCAGGTTCAACCGTTTCGAAGATATGGGGCAAAAGTTCCAAAAAATGTTATTCAATTTTTGAGATAACGGAGCGTCAGATTTGAATTATTCAAAAAACCTTTTATTTGCATTGACGAAATGAAGAACAGATTACATTTTTGGGAAGACAGGTCCAGCGGTTTCGGAAATCCAATATAAAAGTAAAAAAAGTTATATCACATGCCATATACAAATATCAAATTATAAGTTATTTTATAGAGCTTTTAATAATAAGAACTAATGCTTATCCGTTTGGCTGCGACGCAGCGCTTACGCGCTTTGATATATCGTCTCTACAGCTACGCAGCGTAATTGCCGTAAATTAGATTAAAAAAATGTTCTAAATTTAAAAAAATTGAAATATAACAAAAATCAAATTTTTCAAAAAAGTCAAATTTCTTAAAAAATCAAAATTTTTAAAAATCTAATTTTTTAAGTTTTCAAAAAATTTTAAAGTTTTTTTAAAAACTTAAATTTTCGATGCGGCGATTCATAATGGAAATAAGGTAAGTAAAAACCGTGATCGACTATATTATCAACTAGTGGGGCGCATGGCATCGTGCCTTAAGGCAAATTGCTAGAACTTCCCGTACCAAAAATTATTATTATATATGATTTTTAAAAACGATTAACATTTATGAAAAAATTTTACTTTGAAAAAATTAGATTTTTGAGAAACTATAAATTCGACAAAAAATTACTTTTTTTTGAAATAAATTTTTTTGAAAAAAAATGTTTTCTTTATTTTGACATATTTTGGAAATTTTGAACTTTTTTTCAAAGCAAGCGTACTGCTTTGACTGCTTTGTACGGAACTCATAGGAATTTGAACAAAATTTATACTTATTGTTAAAATCTCTATAAAATATCTGATAATTTGATGTGCATATGTCTAATGATCATGGTATTTTATTTTACTTTTTTCATTAGATCTCCGAAACCGCTAAACCTGTCTTCATGAAAATTTGATCAATTCTTCATCTTGTTAATACAAGTAAAATGTTTTTTGAATTATTAAAGTCGGACGCTCCGTTCTCTTAAAAACTGAGTTATCATTTTTGTCATTTTTGCCCCGTATCTTCGGAACGGCTAGACCTGTCTATGCCAAAAACTAATCAGCACGTCTCCTTATCAATACGAATCGAATGTTTTTTGAATTATTCAAATTGGTTGATCGGTGTTTTCGAAATCGTCGACGAAAATTTGTATCCGCACACACATACACACGCATAAATTTTTTCTAAGGTATGCCAAAATATTCAGAAACCTCTGAAACGTAAAGATATAAAAATTTTCATTTTCGATTTTTTTGCGATTACTATAACTTACCCTACGGGAAGTTAATAAATACATAATTATGACTAAAAAATAAAACACTATACCATTTTGTCCCCTACTTCCCCTACTTCCCCTACATCAATAAAATACATAAGATAAAATAGTGTAATATACTATTCTGTTTGTTATATCTATAAAGTCAAATATCATGTAGATAAGTTTAATTCATGCTCTGCAATTAAAAATTAATCATCGATTGCCGAAACACTTTCTAATAATTTTTAATCTGCCTTTAATCGCAGAAACCGGTCACGTGTGCGCAGAGGTTATTCGTGCGTGCGCCAAGCAACAAGAAGCGACCGAGCGGCCGCTTAGTGTCGCTTTCATAACGTTCCTTTGTCGTTTATGTCATTGATTGTCATTGAAAAAAAAAATTATAATATTGTGTTAAAATATTGAAATCAACTTTAATTACGTGCCGAAGAAATATATCACGGATATTAAGAGATATATTCAATCATTCTACCTTTTTGAAAGCTAACCATAAAATCAAGATGGGTGACAAGTAAGTTGCAAATTGTCAAAGTTGGATGATGATTTTATTAGTTAAATTTGCAATGATTTCTTTAAATTTTAGGAAAGCTGATATTGCCTTGATTGGCTTAGCTGTTATGGGACAAAATTTAATTTTAAATATGGATTCTAAAGGTTTTATTGTGTGTGCTTACAACAGGACAGTCGATAAGGTACTTTAGTTGATATTGGGCTTAGTTAAGGGAAATTTGAAATATAACGTAAAACAATCTATATACTTTATGTAATATTTAGTATGTCTAAAATATAAAGAAACTAGAAAATCAATAATACTGTAATTGAACCTTGCATAAAATTTTTCTCTGAATCTATTTGCATCATAAAGTATTAAAATCCATAGTTCTAATATAAGTGAGAACCTAAATTATATTTATTTATTTATTTTAATATATAGCCCACAGATTTCTCCAAGAGGACTCAAAAATACAATTATTTTACATAATGAATAATAATTAAAATATATACAAAATTACAATATATAGTTAGTAACATAAAATGCTTAAGATAAAATTACATATAATGCAGAATCAGAAACTCTAACAATATTATTTATAAACAGAATAAGAAAATAATGAGATATTTGAAAAGAAAATAAAAAGGTTAACTTGTGCAGATGGAGATTATTTGATTAGGTGAAGTGTTGTGAATATCTATTTCATTATTAATTACGTTAAAGTTAGAGGACATAAGTAAAATTGGCGAATTTAAGAGAGAATTAGATTTAGGGGTAGGATAATTGAAAAATAATTGTGAACGCGAAGATAGCCTTGGAACATTAAAGGATAGTTGATTGAGAATAAGAGGACAGTCTATAGAATTATTGCAAAGCTTAAATAAGAACATAATTGTACAGATAAATCGACGTGAGGCAAGGGAAGCAATACCAAATTCTTTTAGTAAAGTGTTGTGGTCAAAGCCACGTTCAGGGTAAATTTTATATGTTTTATAATAAAGGTATTTCAGAAATTTTCACTGAACCTTCTCTATCTCATCAGAGTTGTTGATTTGATGAGGATAGCAAATAATCGAACCGTATTCTAATTTTGAATGTACAATAGAATAGTACATGCAAAGAAGTGCATAGGTAGACTTAAATTGTTTACAATTTCTCAGTATCAAATCTAAAGATTTATGTGCTCTATTACAAATATCAGTTACATGATCTGTGAAAACAAACCAGAATCAAATAGAACACCTAAATCGGAAATTTTATTACATACATACATATTATATACATCCCAGTAGTTTAATTCGTCTTGGCATAAATATATTTCATTAAATTAATCTATTAAATTAAACATCATCCCCTGTTTCATAAATTGAATTTGAATTTGAAATCACTTTATGGCATTGAAATCAGTAGAAGATCTGTGAATTCTATCAGTTTTGAAAGTAAAGATATTAGAACCTTTTAAAAGCTTAAAGGTTATTATGTTAGAACTTTTTTGTCTAAAAATGAACTGTAATTTTTTTTGCCGGATATAACTATTACATTTTACGCTACTTAATTAACGAAAGCCCTTTGTTGTGCACAGCTAGACGTGTAACATTTTGAATATTCTACTTAATAATTGAAGATTATATTCTTATATATATTTATATATACAATTCATAATTTATCTCATAAATTACATGAGAAAAACATAATTAGCAGAATATATCAAGTCTGTTTCGATTAATTTTATTTTATCGGCTAATATTAAAATATCTAATAAATATAGAAGTAAAACTATTTTAAAGACCTGAATTTCATAGCAATAATATTTTATTGCTCTCTCTTTTCTTGTATTAATTGCATTGTAAATTTATCTATCTATTATCTACATTACAATTAGTACAAGAACAGAAAGAAACATAACAATATTTTTGCTTTAAAATTTAGGAATTCAAAATAATTTTACTTCCATATATATTTATATTAGATTATACATACATATTGTATAGAAATATGTATGTATAATCTAATATAAATGAAATAAATAAATCTTTAAAAACAAACTTCTATATATATTATTCAATAACATAAAATTAATTGAAGTTGACTACACAATTCTGTCACTGATTTTTTCTCATGTTTGTTTGATGAATTATGAATTTTATATATAAATATATATATTAGAATAATTATGTTAGATAAAGTTGCTTCACTTTATTTTTATTTCTGTTGACTTTATTTTGTATATTCTAAATTTCAGGTGACTAAATTTTTAAACAATGAAGCAAAAGGCACTAATGTAATTGGTGCGACAAGCCTTCAGGATATGGTATCAAAATTAAAACTCCCAAGAAAAGTCATGCTTCTTGTTAAAGGTAATGCAACTTCCAAATATGATTGAGTTAGTATATATTCTGTAGTTTTACATAGTTTTTTAAAGTGACCTCATTTTACTAATTATTGTATCTATAAAGTAACCTTACAATCACTTTTTAGCCTTGACCCATTTTAGTGTTTATATCAATTTTTGCTTTAGCTTTCTATTTCTTTGTAATAGTAGCTATTTCAAATATAATATATAAAAGTAATGCTTGGTTGAATTGTTGATATGGACACATTTATGCTTACATAAAATTATTTTTTGTTGTGTACTAAAACAATTTTTAGTATCGACAACTATTTTTATACATGGATCAACAAGCATTTTCTTTATAGTATTTTTTTTTAAAAAAATACAATTGTATTTGAGATAATTTATTTTTAGTGATCTAGTAAATTTTATTGCATGTTATCTATTATTTAAAATAAAGCAAATAATGGAATATTATAGAAATACAAGATAGAAAAAAATGAATCCGTAATTAAAATTATTCAATCAATTAGAGAAAATTCTTCTATTGAGAAAATTATATCAGTTGTGAATGAGCATTTATAATATCTATATATTTTACTGTATTCTTAAATGTTGACATGAATATTTCTTTTGAATACGAATGAGAATTTGCTGATCATATTTATGATTTACTACTTCAATGATATTTTATTTGCCATGTAGCAACAATATCTATTGTATTTATATTTTGAATTTCAAGATGTACATATATTTTTTTCTGATATATTTTAAATATTATGCCTTAAACATTATTAACCAAAAATATTGCTATTTTTAAATAATGATTTTACCAAATTTTATGATCATCTATTGTAATAAAAATTTGGCTGTCTGCAAGTACTAGACATTATTAAAATTATATTAGATTAAAGTGTTTTATCTGGTTATTACTATTATTAATTTATTAAGTAATACATCTTTAAGTTAGAAGAAGACTACAAATTTTACTTAAAGTAAAAAATGTCTTGTTCAGAAGCCACTTGAAGTTTATGATTAAATAAAGATAACCATTGTTGAAGCCCGAAACTGAAGTTCAAACTATTAAAAGTTAATAAAAAACGACGAACAATAGTGTTGAAAATAGATGATCTGGCTGGATCACTATGCATATGCTATCAATTATTAATAAATCAATTCTATGAACTCTGATTGAAAGTAGTTTGTGATTAGTTTGAATTAATTGGCAAAAGCCACTTTATTTCTTGATAAAATTGTATTATTACTTTGGATATTATAATTTTGTCTCATATTTTTTAATATTTTTACAGCTGGTCCTGCTGTAGATGATTTTATTGAGCAGCTCTTGCCATTATTGTCACCTGGAGATATTATTATTGATGGAGGAAATTCTGAATATTTAGACACAAGTCGTAGATGTCAATATGTGAAAGAGAAGGGGTTGCTATTTGTTGGATCTGGTGTAAGAACTTTTATATGATATATTATTTTTGTTTAAAGAACTATAATTTTATTAAAAAGATCAGAATCACACAATAATAACATGCACAAAGTGTATGTAGTTTTGGATTTTTGGGCCATTTTGAAAGTTTAACTGATTTACATGAGATCTAGCAATCATTAATTGCTAATTAAAAAGCAGTGACTTTGTCAAATTTTCATTAAACTCTAAATAAATGTGAACTGAAATAAATTCTAGAATTTTTAAATTGGTTCAAAAATATCTTGACAAAATTAAATGATAAATATTTAACTGATAAACGTAAAAATATGGAAACCATTTCACAAAAACCAATAAATTTGGTATCAAAATAATACTTTTCATTTTGAATGCTTGAAGCCTAAAATATTATTGTTAAATACCAGAAAATAAAATGTTTTTTGCAAATATTTTTCAAACATGAAATGAACTTTTTATATTTATTTATTTATATAAACACCAATTGGTTATGTACATTAGATTTGTAATGTAGTATTGATAATTTTATAACTTAAGCTAATAGGAATATAAGCTTTTGAATATTAATATATTGAAATAGTATATTTTAAGAAGCCATTGACAAATAATCAAATTTTACACTATTAATTACAGAGAGATCGATTTTAGCGAAATTTTTAAAGAATATCAACAATAACTAAGACATCACATAAATTTCTAGTTTTTAAATTAATAGAAAAAGTTTTAACAGTCAAATGCTGATAAACGTTCTGATGGATTTTTACCAAAATCATAATCAGCAAGGTTTACATTTATGTTATTCAAACTGCACTTAAATTTTCGAAATAAGTTCAGTATCTTTTGCATAGTATTAATTAATTAATTAATTAATTATAGTTTTATTATAAACATAGGATTTACTTTGAAGTGGCATAATAATGTATTTGTATGATATATAGTAACAATATTGCCTTAAGAGATTGTGCATGTTTAAGATCTACATTTGAAATTTGTTTTATATTAGCATGATATAATATTTTATTTGCCCAAAATCTGAAGTAATATATAAATATTCACAAACAATAATAATTTGGCCTATTTTTTATCATTTATCTTATAATTAGTGATTTTGCTCTTTATTACCAACAAATACAGCTCATTGAAGAACATGAAAAACTGTTTGTGCCTTGTTGTGTTTTGGAACAAATATCTTTTTTAAACATAACATATAGATTATAATTAATGCTATTATTACTAATTATTTTTTTGTTTAGGTGAGTGGTGGTGAAGAAGGTGCGCGATATGGACCATCTTTAATGCCTGGAGGACATAAGGATGCTTGGCCTCATATTAAACCAATTTTTCAAGTAATTTTATGATAAATTTTAAATAGGTCTTTTTTAACATCACAAATAAATAAATTTGAATCTGTAACACAGTCAATTTGTGCTAAATCAAATGGGGCACCTTGTTGTGATTGGGTTGGAGATGATGGAGCTGGTCACTTTGTCAAAATGGTTCACAATGGTATTGAATATGGAGACATGCAACTCATTTGTGAAGCATATCATGTCATGGTTAAAGTTTTAGGTATGGCAGCAATATGTGAGATGATTTTTTTTTACATTTAAAATTTAAAATTAAAAATCTAGAAAAAGTTTAAAATCATAAACAGATTTTTTTTTTATATTCTGAAGTAATTTTTTTTATTATTTGATACCAATGAAAATAATATCAACAACTTATTCACTATTAGTTACATTTGAGATTTAGTATTAACACAGATCTCTGGGATTTTAAATTGTTGTATTTTTATTTTAGGAATGACACCGCCCGAAATAGCTAATGTATTCGATGAGTGGAATAAAGGAGAACTGAATTCATTTTTGATTGAAATCACTAGAGATATACTCAATTATAAAGACAAAGATGGTTAGCAAACTAATAGATATATAAAAAAATTACTTCAAAAATAATTTTTTTTTTTTATTATTAAGGTTATTTGTTGGAACGCATTCGTGACACTGCTGGACAGAAAGGTACAGGAAAATGGACTGCAATATCGGCATTGCATTATGGAGTACCTGTCACTCTAATTGGGGAAGCTGTGTTTTCAAGATGTCTCTCAGCATTAAAAGGTGATTTTTTTTTGTTAAAATATGTTTCAATTAACTTCCCAAACTAAGTGGTTGGTTTTCGCGAGAATATCCGATTTGATAATTTTGTTTTCTCGATCTTTCAAGTAATTCTGAATCAAATAGGGCTAAATTTTGAAAAATGGTGTGTGTATGTGAGCTTATTTATGACATTTTATTGACATTTTTTTGTACATGTCTTAGCCTAAAACCTTGAATCGATTTTGTAAATTTAAAAACTATTTGAAAGATATCATTTGGAAATCTTGATATGTTTTTGATTATAATTATTTAAAAAAAAATTCGACGATTTAATGAATCTTTGTTTGGTGATAAAGTTCATAATCTTAATGAACATATTTAAATACTGTAGTTTTATGAAAATTGGTTCAATTATAAGAATTCATTAAAATTTGAATTTAGCGGCCGCGCTTTTAGAAAATAACCCTAGTATGTATTAAGGCATGTTTGTTTTTCAATAATTTTCAGCAATAGTTTTTTACATTATGGCTTTTCTTATAAATCACTCATAATATGATAAATATTGATTTCTTATTAATTAAATCGATTATTTACACATGTTGGGAAGTTCATGCAAAGTGTCGCTTACAACTCATATTATTATATATAATGCATGTGTATATATTAAGTGTGTACATATGTATATTTTTTTTCTATGTTTGTATTGATGTATATATTTCCGTGCTTCGGTAGTATCTCAGAATTTGTTTCATGATCCGTGTTTTATTGGATTATTATAATGAGTTTTTTCCTCATATAATTTTTTCTTAAATTATGAATAAGTATGAATAATTTGCATTACATTCTGCGTACCATAAATAGTATTACAAATATTTTGCTTTTTAAACCATTTTGTTATTTTTTTAAATTTTGAAACAGTGAACGATTTGTTGTGCACTGTTTGTGCAGTCGGTCGTTTTCTATAGAAGTTTGTAAATGATTTTTGACAAAAATAAATTGATTAAATGACTAGTGGTGTATGGCATTGTGCAAATTGCTGGAACTTCCCGTACTGTAACGAAATGCTCGAGGAATATTAAATGTTTTCAAATAGATTAATATAAATATTGTAACATTGTCGAATATTTACAAGAATTATATAAACTGAATTGCAAAGTTGAAATTATTTGTTTAAAGTATATTAGAACTTTAGTCAAAATTAAAATTAAAATCTGAATTATTTTCGATTACAAAAAAAAAATTTTTTGAAAAAAAAAATTGAAACTAATTTTTTTTAAACTAAAAGCAATTATTTTGTTAAACCAAGCAGAAAATTCTTTGAATCATTTAAATCGGACTAAGCGTCTCTCAAAAACTGCCATTTTTTGGACAAGCTCGGTATCCTCAAAACGGCTAGACCTGCCTTTGCCAAAAACTAAACATAACATCTCCCAATCATTACAAATTGAATGTTTTTTGGATCATTCAAATCGGATACTTCGTTCAATCAAAACCTTCATTTCTATTTTCTGCACTCTTTGCTCCGTATCTCCGTAACGGCTGGACCTGCCTTTGTCAAAAACTAACGTCTCCCTATCAATAAAAATCGAATATTTTTTTTAACTATTCCAATCGGTTGATCCGTGTGCTCGAAAAGATGAACGAAAAAATGCGGACATACAAACACACACACACACACATCCATTTTTTCTGAGGTAAGTATGCCAAAATGTTCAGAAAGCTTCAAAACGTGAAGATATACAAAAAAATTTATTTTCGATTTTCGGTCCATTACTATAACTACCCTATGGGAAGTTAATAATACATGCATTAATTGGTATTAAATAAAATACAAGTAATTGATAAATGACTAAATAGCATTATATACCAATATAGATACAGAATAGTATTATACAATTTGATTATTCTTAAAATTATACTTTGTCAATTGATTTTTTTTTTATTTTATGTTATTCAATTTAGAGGAAAGAGTAAAAGCAAGTCAAGTATTGGAGGGACCGAAACAAGAAGTTGTATCTAAAGACAAACGACCTATATTCTTGAACAAGTTAAAAAATGCTTTATATGCTTCAAAAATAATATCCTATGCCCAAGGATTTATGCTGATGCGTGAAGCAGCAAGAGAAAATAAATGGACTTTAAATTATGGAGGCATAGCATTGATGTGGAGAGGCGGTTGCATTATTAGAAGGTTTGTGTTTATTTCAAAGATATATGATGAATTTAATTCTTATATAGATTTAGTGGGTTGCATTTGTCTATAGATCATGTAGCTTAGCCTTATTGTCTAATTTCAAAGTGGGAGTTGATAGGTTTCCGATTTAATGAACTGGTAATTGTTCTTTTATCTTTCTGTAATTTATTTTAAATACTGTTATTTATTGTTACCACATCCTTATTTATCGGCGCATTTATCTGTACTACCTTCAGATCCAAGCTCTAATTTTTGTAAAAAATTTGTTATTTTTGATTTCGTGACATATGATGTTCAGCACTTGTGAAGTTAAATTCAATTTTTGTATTCATTTCATTTGTAGAATCTTTGCGTAAGCCTCTTTTCCATTGAATGTACATGCTTGAATACAAAATGTTAAATGAGGTATGATTTGCACTAGTTTTATCACATTTATTGAGCGGTTGTAGGGTGGTTTCACAAGTTTTAAAATATTTAAAGTTTGCTTTTAAAAGCTTTTATTACATTTTATATTTTATTAGAGTGTTGGTCAATGATCAATCCCTGTTAGAACAAAATAGTGCTAGTGTGAATAATTTAAGTATCTTTAAAAGGATGTATGTTAACTCGTTTAACGTGGTCTTGAAATGGTTGAATTAGTGATTTTAGTTTAGTTTTATTAATAAACCGCTTTCGGTAGTATGTTTGTACAGACTATTATCATCAAGTAAATTAATGCCTTCTCCTCTTATTACATATTGAATTCTCTTAGTGCTGTTCAGCAAGCATTTGTTGGAGTAGATCATTTCAACTGTTTACCTTTTGTGGAAATAGAGTTCACTCCCATATAAAATAACAATTGTATACAACTGTTTAATTTTTTCTTATTTAATATTTCTTTTATACGTTTATGATTTTGTTGAAAATATATTACTGGATTATCCGGTACATTTATAAATGTACTGGACAGTGGCGTAACTAGGCTACCCGGGGCCCGTGGCAAATTTTTTTGATGGGGCCCCCCCCATCAGTAAAATCAAGTGGTTTTAATTTAATTTAAAAAAACTCGAAATTTTTCAACGTGTTGATTTAAATGTTATATATATATATATATATATATATATATATATATATATAGAATTTTATGATATGAGTGGAACGAATATTAATTGTTTAATATGAACAAAACAGCACTCAGATTTGTTTAACACAACTTTATTTTATGATTACAGACGTTTCGAGACCATGGTGTGTCTCATCTTCAGTGTAATTTCAAAAACAGTTACTTATATACTACACATTCTTTAATAATTTATTTAAATTTCATTTAATTTTTAATATACAAAAAACACCAACTATTCCTTGCAATGCTTGACACAGTACTAAAGAAACATATAACACTTACAGAAATATTCTAAACAAATTTGAAGTACTTATCTAGATGGAGACAGAATGGGTATCATTATAATGTAAACAAAAGGAGTGCTATCTCATACAAAAATCGATAAAAATGAAAAAACAAATTAATTTATTGAAAAGAATAAGATAAATGAAAAAAAATTATAAATTATTAATGATGTTTATATAAGTGTCATGTAAAATATTTGTGTCGGTTCTTAGATTTATGCTATTGTTAGTCCGAACTATTAACATTGATTCTGCCATGCTCCGTTTAAATAAGTCTTTCTCATGGAATAAAATTTGGGGATTGTCAAAATCAAACTTATGGTTGTTGATATTAGCATGATCCATATATGCCCTTGAAGAACTTACTCATATATATATATATATATATATATATATATATATATATATATATATATATCCACGATTTGTAATGTATTAAAAATTAGTAAATCCACTTCGACGTATTCATATTTTATGGTTTTAAATTAAGAAATTATTTAAAATGTATGTATACAAAAATTTAAAAAAAAATTAAAATGTATAAGTACAAGAAAACATAAAAATAAAAATAATTATAAGTCAAAATTAATAATTTAAAAGTACAATTACTACTTTGTTTTGAAAATCAAACATAAAATTTTTGTGTTTAAACATTGTAATACATGAACTATAGAAAGGATTTTTTTATGACTGAATTCAACAGAGAAAGAACATAGTACTTTGGGGTTAAAAATAATTATTACATAACCTAACATTAACAATCAATTTTTCACGTGTTTTCTCAACAATCAAATCCTTTTTAATACTTTTTGAAAACTTCATATTCGTCATATACTCGCTGGCCCTTTTTGGTGAAGAAACTCGTTTAAAATATGCATAAATTTGGAATGAAATAAAAACAACAATTTAATTTCAATAAGGTATTTATTAATTAAAATCTTTTCTTCGTGCTTTCTGTTCTGCAAAAGTGTCTATGACATCATCAAAATTTAATGAACGAGCCATAGTATTTTCAATAGTATTTTCAAAACTTAATAAAAAGTTAGTTTTCTATTAGTCATTATTTGCATATTATAAAGCTTCATAAATAATATTAAAGAAAATATTAAAAAAAAATCACAACACTCTAAAATTATATTTTTACATTCTGTTGTTTGTTTTGTTTGATTTCTTTTGTTTTTGTTGTTTGATGTTTTTTTTTCGAAATTAAATTTATTTAGAAGAAAATTTTCATGCTTATTCTAACTTTTGTTATTAGTGAAATAAAACCAAAATTTGTTAGATTTTACTAATTTTTACGCGTATTTGGGGCCTCCGTGGCCTCGGCAAAATAAAACTCTTTAAAATAATAATCTTACATTCCTCGCGTACTTTTTTACGCGTATTTGGGGCCCCCGTGGCCTGGACAAAATAAAACTCTTTAAAATAATAATCTTACATTTCTCGCGTACTTTTTTACGCGTATTTGGGGCCCCCGTGGCCTGGACAAAATAAAACTCTTTAAAATAGTAATCTTACATTCCTCGCGTACTTTTTTACGCGTATTTGGGGCCCCCGTGGCCTGGACAAAATAAAACTCTTTAAAATAATAATCTTACATTTCTCGCGTACTTTTTTACGCGTATTTGGGGCCCCATGGCCTGGACAAAATAAAACTCTTTAAAATAATAATCTTACATTTCTCGCGTACTTTTTTACGCGTATTTGGGGCCCCATGGCCTGGACAAAATAAAACTCTTTAAAATAATATTCTTACATTCCTCGCGTACTTTTTTACGCGTATTTGGGGCCCCCGTGGCCTGGATAAAATAAAACTCTTTAAAATAATCTTACATTCCTCGCGTACTTTTTTACGCGTATTTGGGGCCCCCGTGGCCTGGACAAAATAAAACTCTTTAAAATAATAATCTTACATTCCTCGCGTACTTTTTTACGCGTATTTGGGGCCCCCGTGGCCTGGACAAAATAAAACTCTTTAAAATAATCTTACATTTCTCGCGTACTTTTTTACGCGTATTTGGGGCCCCATGGCCTGGACAAAATAAAACTCTTTAAAATAATAATCTTACATTCCTCGCGTACTTTTTTACGCGTATTTGGGGCCCCCGTGGCCTGGACAAAATAAAACTCTTTAAAATAATAATCTTACATTCCTCGCGTACTTTTTTACACGTATTTGGGGCCCCCGTGGCCTGGACAAAATAAAACTCTTTAAAATAATAATCTTACATTTCTCGCGTACTTTTTACGCGTATTTGGGGCCCCCGTGGCCTGGACAAAATAAAACTCTTTAAAATAATATTCTTACATTCCTCGCGTACTTTTTTACGCGTATTTGGGGCCCCCGTGGCCTGGATAAAATAAAACTCTTTAAAATAATCTTACATTCCTCGCGTACTTTTTTACGCGTATTTGGGGCCCCCGTGGCCTGGACAAAATAAAACTCTTTAAAATAATAATCTTACATTCCTCGCGTACTTTTTTACGCGTATTTGGGGCCCCCGTGGCCTGGACAAAATAAAACTCTTTAAAATAATAATCTTACATTCCTCGCGTACTTTTTTAACGACATTCAATTTGGTTGAACGAAGTTTTCATGATTAATTCGTTTTTCATGATTTTTTTATATTATTAATGTTTCTTACGGACATTGGGGGCCCCCTGGTTTGGGGGTTCCGTATATTTGATACGGCTGATACGACGGTAGTTACGCCCCTGATTCTTACGAAAACATACTTTTCAAGTAAAATAAAGTATTGGAATATAATGTAAAAATATTTCTGAGCATGCGTCCTTTTGGGCCGGGGCCCCCTTGAGCCGGGGGCCCGTGGCATTTTGCCACCCACGCCACCCTATAGTTACGCCACTGGTACTGGATTAATTTGACTAAATGAAATGAGAACAAAATATACGTATAAAATATATTTTCAACAAAATCATAAACATATAAAAGAAATATTATATAAGAAAAATTAAACAGTTTTAATTACAGAAACTATATTTTAAAACAAACACTGAATTTGAAGCTCAATACAACCATCTGTGATTTGCTAAAAACACTAATGCAGAGTAAAGCGCATTTGTTCAGTTTTCCCCCCCATGATTGATAGCAAGTCTGTTTTTTTAAAACTTTTATAACTTTTCTCTGCAAGGAAAAATGTTATTGATTATTTCCATGATATAATAGATTGTTACTATATTTTCATGAATTGTGATTATTATGAATTAGCCTATTTTTTACTATTGAAAATCATATGTTTTTTTAAAACTTTTATAACTTTTCTCTGCAAGGAAAAATGTTATTGATTATTTCCATGATATAATAATAGATTGTTACTATATTTTCATGAATTGTGATTATTATGAATTTGCCTATTTTTTACATTACATTACATTTAAAATCGTTCATATCATTATTCATTAATAAATTTATTCAATAATATTATTAACTATCTTATTATTATACATACTTTTCTTTTTTACAGTGTATTTTTGGGAAATATTAAAGAAGCTTTTGATAGAGATCCAACTCTTAGCAACTTATTGATGGACAATTTCTTTAAAAATGAAATTAATAAGTATGTTATAATTATTTAATTTTCAACTCCTTCATAGAGATTAATTATTTTGTTTAATTAAGATCACAACAGCTATGGCGTGAAGTTGTAAGTTCTGCTTTACTGTGGGGTATACCAGTACCAGCAATGTCTGCAGCGTTAGCATTTTATGATGGTTATAGAGCAAATAAATTGCCAGCAAACCTATTGCAGGTGAATATTTAAATAATCTTTATTTACTTACTTGAACATTTTGCGTGATTTCATAATTTATCTTTATAATAGATTTAATCAATACAGTAGAACCTCGATTATACGGACTAATTGATGTCGATAGGCATCCGGATAATCGAAAATCCGGATAATCCAAATTATGAAGAACAATGTTTTGTTTATCAAAAATAACAAATACATACATAGATATCAACAAAAATCAATCCACTACTTGCCACAAACGATTCATCGCCGCCTAATTTTTCATTTAACTGTAATGCCTTTTCACATAGCAAAGGTCCAGATATCGGTTGTCCTGTTGATCGTTTCTGTAAAAACCAACAATATAGAGCTTCTTCTAAGAGTTCATTTTTTGGTCTCTTCATCATTTTCCGATTTTCACTCTCCTTTTCACTATCTAACTTGCAAGTGTATGACAAAATTGAATCGGCATTCTTTTTAATATCGCTTATAGCGGATGTACCTACACCATACCTATTAGCTAACTTACGGCCGGTTTCGCCTGTTTTAATGATTCTATAATATTTATTTTATCTTTAAGGGATGATAACACCACCCTCTTACGCTTTGGCATAAGTATTAATTTATATATGCACCTCAGAACACAGTCAAAATTGCAAACTACATAAATGAATATACAAGTTTCGACGCGATTATGTCCGGATAATCGCGAATCCGTATGACCGAGGTCCGGATAATCGAGGTTCTACTGTATATTTATATTTAAAAAAATAACATAAAATAAAATTTTGTCATTATGACTGACAATATGTCATGTGATAATTGTAGTCATTTTTGTAGTAATTGACAGGTTATCAGATATAGGATTGAATACAATCAATATTTCATTGAACTTTCTAGAAGATAAAACTATGTACCTCTATGCAATTGATCGGCACATCGATTTTGTTTTGAAGTTTACAAAAGTTATTCAGATAATCTAGTAACAGTCAGCTGTTTTTGTGTTTCTATTTAATCAGCTTTATATATTTAAAGTTTTGTTTCTACACAGAGTTCTTTTTTTTTACCTAGGCTCAGAGAGATTATTTTGGGGCTCACACTTATGAACTACTGGGAGCTGAGGGAAAATTTGTTCATACTAATTGGACTGGACAAGGTGGAAATGTTTCAGCTAGTACTTATCAAGTTTAATTCAATCATAGATCATTTATTCATTTGCACATGTTCGTTCTTATATTTTTATTTTTGGTATAAAGTTTTATGTTTAAAAAAAATTCTATGATTATTTATGAATTTTATATTTTTATAATATAGATATTTAAAGATATTTTATGGTTAATAATAATTTATTATTTTGCGTTCAATTTATACAAGATAAACTTTTAGAAATGTGTTTAAAGATGGTTGTGCAAATATATAAGTTGGGTAACTCCAGGTCGAAAGGTTGCAATAAATATTTGAATAGATGGCAATAATAAATTTTAATATTTAATTTTACAGAAAAATGGAAATGTTTTGTGAAAAATCTTTGTTTTTGAGTTATGTAGATGATATAGTTATATTGTTATAGAAGATATATAATAATAAGGCAACCCAGGCGGGTGACGAATGGGCATTCAAATAAGGCTTTAGACAAGTAAAACAAGTGAGGTAGGCAAACACTTTGGAAATTCAAAAAAGAGCTTTGGGCAAAACAACCAAGACGGGGAGGCAAATCTTCTGGGCTTTGAACAAGGTAACCAAGATGGGAAAGCAACCATTCTGGACATTGGACAAGGCAATGAAGACGGAGAGGCAAAGATCCTGGCCATTCAAATAAGGCTTTAGACAAGGCAATCAAGACTTGGTGGAAAACATCTTGCATATTGGACTAGGCAACCAAGATGAGGAGGCAAAAATTCTGGACATTTAATCGAGGAGACAAAATTAGTATCCAATTTATTCAAATAAGGGGGAGTAGTTTATTGGAGGAAGACATTCCTGCGTATTGGACTAGGCAACCAAGATGAGGAGGCAAAAATTCTGGACATTTAATCGAGGAGTCAAAATTAGTATCAAATAATGGGGAGTAGTTTATTGGAGCAAGAAACCTGAGGCTTATTAAGGCTGTCTGTATTCACTGTCTTCACAATAAAGCCCATTGTTATTGGTTACTTCACTTTGTCATGCACAGTCGCATGAACTTCTACACAAATTATTGAAGTAAAACTTCTTTAGACACGGCTAGGGAGTCGAGTGCCAATGATTCGTCATTCGCTCTCGATGAGATCATTTCTATATGAGTTGATTGTGATTGGTAATCGTGTCACTTCTTTGATTATATGCGTACGTCACATAAACGTAAAAGCATAGAGCATATTGTTCCAAATGTCATTAGAGAGTAGAGATCCTGATTTGATAAAAAATGTCTGGATCGAGAGAATATTTTCTTCCGACACCAGTTAATAATTATAGTGAAAATTATAAAACAAATGAAATACTGTTCTGTGTAAGAAACGTAAGTTAATTGAAGTAATTTGTATTATTTGTGGTTACTATATATTTTTCAGGTAATTAAAATCGAAATTATTTTTATAGGCAAGACATATACTACAGCTCTTTAAAGAATGCGATGGTGTCGCCAGCGAAAAAGTTAAAAAAACAAGCACTCAATGAATGTATGTTAATTTTTATTACATCAAGTTCTTCAAGCACAATTACATGATAAATGAAATTGTGAAAACAATATTTCTTTCGGCGTTGTTTAACATAATAATTCTTTGCATTTTTATAGAGATAAAAACCAAAAATATAATAGACATAATTAAGGTAAATGTACACTATTCCGGGATAGTACGTTATTCCGAGAGTTTTTCATTTTGATCGCAAAATAAGAAAACGGTGTATAATAATTTTATGCAGTAGCGCATCAATTACATTTTGAGTCCTAACAAAGTTGCATGATTTTCGAATTAAAATATCAGTTTTTAAAGCCGTAAAAAACTGAGCTCATCGGTCGTGACCCGATTGCCTTTCTGTACTGTCTTCCCACACAGCACAAGCGCGAATCAGAGGCGACCTGGAGTTTGAGTCGTGGATCATCGGTTAACCTTATAAACCTTAAAAGGTAATCCATATTGTTGTACATGGAAATACAAGTTTTTAGATTTAATTGATTTAATAATATAACTGCACCTTATTGCTGAAAGTTTACTACATATGCGACAGATGTCGCATCCATAATTTATTTGTATGCATTTTTCAATAGCACATTCTCTAAAATATAGAATGCATGTGCCCTTTGCGGGTATTAAAACTTCGGTCCCCAGCTTTTTTTCCACTTTTTTTTCTTGAATTTTTTTCCCAAAATTTTTCTCCAAAAAATTTTTTTAACAAATTTTTAAATTTTTTTTGTCCAAATTTATTTTGTCCCAAACTTTTTTCCCAAAATTTTTTTGTCCAAATTTTTTGTCAAAGAATATAAAATAAAATATAACAAGCGCACAAGGTTCGCACGAGTTTTAACAGACAGACAGACAAAAAAGTATTTATTACAGTAATTAATTATACATTTTGCATTGCTATTTTTAGTGCATATTTTTTACCCTTGGGTACTTTATACATCATATCTGATCTTAATATATACAGTAAATGTTGATTATTATTACAGCGAGATGTTTTACAAATTGAGTGGCAAAAAAAGAGGTAAGAAAACTTTTCCTCAAAAAAAAGCCACAGAGTAATATTTATAATTATACATAATTATACAAAAAAAAATAAAATAAAATAAAAACAAAATAAAAGATTTATTCTCATCCAAGTATTAATTGCCACTATGGGTCGATCAGTATATATTTTGGCATGGCGTGATTGCCATACCAAATATCGTCTCTTGTGTATTGGCCGAGGCCCGCGATGTTAATATTAGGATGATCCCCACATTTTAGATAAAAATTCTCAGTGAGCTTTTTTATATAGTCGAGTATTGTCGGTACGTCAGTCTGTTTGTGTATGTATTTTGAAGAGTAGTAATGTCTAGTCAGTGGGTCCCTTATTTTGTTAAGTACTATTCGTAGTGCCTTATTTTGTAATGTCTGTAGTTTCTGTAAGTTAGTCTTAGTCGTCGCGTTCCATGCCGGAGCGGCGTATGTCAGTAGCGGTCTTATTAGTGTCAAGTAAAGTGTCCGCTTGTTTTGCATGCTTAGCGGGCTGTTCTGGTTCAAGAGAGGTCTCAGTAGATTCAACATCCCGTAAGCCTGTCCAATTTTTGTATTAATATGTTTTGTGAAGCTGAGTCTATGGTCCAGGGTCACACCAAGATATTTGACATCCTTCGACCCCTCAACTTCACAGTCCAATACTTTAATTTTGTCCGAGTCAGTCAGTCTAGTCATGGCATTTCGGCTCTTTGTAAATAAAATTGCCTCCGTCTTTTGCGGATTGATTTTGATCTGCCATTTGTCAGTATATTCGGTCAGCTTGTCTATGTGTGTCTGTATCTTTGTAGTCAGTAGCGTCGGTGATCGTGATGATTTGTATATGGCAGTGTCGTCAGCAAACATCAGTAACGTTGTGTCGGCGTCAGTGGGTATGTCGTGAATGTAGACGTTAAACAAGTACGGTCCCAGGATCGAGCCCTGCGGTACTCCCGCCGTCACTTGTTTAACCGTCGAAAGTCCGTTGTCTACTCGTACAATGAAGTTACGGTCTGAGAGGTATGAGTGTAAAGTTCTCGTTATGTACGGTGGAAAGTTGAGTTGGATAAGTTTATGTACAAGTCCGTCCATCCAGATGGTGTCAAACGCCTTCTCAAAGTCGAGTAACACCAATCCGGTATGGTTTCGTCTGTTGAAGTTGAGTACTGTATTTTCTATGAGTTTTGTCAGTGGGTGTAGTGTAGAGTGTCGTTCTTTGAAGCCGTATTGTGTATCAGGTATGATTTTGTTGTGTCTTATGTGTTTGTACAGTCTTTTGAGTAGTACCTTTTCGGCTACCTTACTCATTGTGTTGAGGAGGCTGATCGGTCTGTAGTTCTGTGGTATGTCTGGCTGTTTCCTTGGCTTCACTATTGGAAATATGGTGGAGGTTTTCCAAGAAGCGGGAAAGCAGCCTTTTGTCATTATTCTATTTATTATGCGCGTAAGTAAAATGTAGGCGTTCGTCGGCAGTTGTTTAAGTATTATGTTTTGTAGTCCGTCTGGTCCTGGTGCTTTCCTGTTCGGTAATTTTTTAACTATTGTCTTTATTTCGGAAACTGTGGCAGGGTCTATTCGTAAGTCTTTGTCCTTGTGGAGGTCAGTGAAGTTTTGAATTGTCTCGTGTACGTCTTGTTTCATGTCTGCGTTTGACATATTGGCATTTTGTTTATGGATGTTCTCAAAGTTTTTTGCCAATATTTCCGCCTTGTCTGCTGGTGTCGTTGCGTAATTGTTGTCTGTGAATTTGAGTGGAGGTATAGATGTTGGTTTCTGCGTCAGTCTTTTTGCTGTCTGCCAAATTTTGTGTGGGTCAGTATTTAAGTTCTCGAGTCTTTTGGTCCAAGTGTTGTTTCGGTGGTCACGTATATCATTGGAAATAATTTTGGTCAGTCTGTTCACATGTTCCTTGAGTAGTCTGTCACCGGTACGCTGCCACAGTTTCTTTGTGTGATTTTTAAGTTGTATTTTCGATAAAATGTGTTCTGGCAAGTCGTTGTCTGGTGTTGTTCTTGAGTCTAGTGTCGGTGTAGTCTGTTGTACGGCGTCTGTGATTGTCAGTGTAAGGTGTGTTACAGCCTCCTCAATGTCTGCGTTGGTATCGATTGGCATTGTGTGTCGTGTGTTGTCTGTGATGATGTCTCTGAAAATTGGCCAGTTGGCTCTGGTGTAATCTAAAAATTTGCGTTTGGGAGTCTGGTCGACGTCTATTCTGTCTGAAATGGTCATGAAAACTGGATTATGGTCGGAGTTAAAAAGTGTTCTTGTTATGGGTTCGGATGTTACGTGTAAATTTTTTGTCAATGCCAAATCGATCGTGCTGTGATGGTGTGTCTGTACTGTGGCGTATCTGGTCGGCGTGTCAGGATAGTGTAGTTGTGCGTCTGTGATGTTGTGTTCGGTCAGGTATTCGTAAAGTCTGTTTCCGTTCGCGTTGTTAAAGTTACAGTTCCAAGATGTATGCTGTGCGTTAAAGTCTCCTGCCATAAGTACAAATCTGTTCGAGTCCAGTAGTCTTTGTAAGTCCGTATGTTCTAGTCCGCT